CCCATCTGACCAAACAATTAAAGTAAGTGCTTTATAAATATATATATATATATATATATACACATGTAATGTGTGTGTATGTATGTACTGTATCTGGCAATTTACCGTATTTTACTAACCATTGGGCACACCGTATTATAAGGTGAACGTGTCCTTTAATTTATTTTTCTTTTTTTTCAATTAAAATAAAAAATAATACATAAGACACACTGGGTTACCAGGCGCATTATTTTTGTTTAGCATTGTATGTTAATTAGTTGATTGTAATTGTACCGTATGTTTATTTGATAGATTTTGTGCTGTTATGCTATGTACAGAACGGACATGAAATATTTGGTAGCCCCACGTGTCTCACTTGTAACTGCATGGGAGTTGGTTCAAGTGGGGGGCATCCCCCAACAGACGAAAGAGAAAGTTTGAGCATCGCTAGTCAATCTGGTGGTTGTGTTATTACTTTCCACTGAGGACTATCTTGGTGGACAGTCCAACAGCTATAAACAAGTCAATGGGCTCACAATTATGCAACTTTTTGTGCTCTGTCCAGTAGCTATTGGAAGGTGGTTGTGTGTTTACATCACGTCAATACTGGAAATATGCCGCTTGAAAAACTCAGCTCATGTTAAGTCTAACCAGTGACCACAGTGTTAAGCTAGTTAGGACTACATTTCCCATAATGACACAAAAGCAAAAAGTAGTTCTCGCTCCAGTACGATGAAAACATACAGATACCTGCTTGCAATTAGATGCAAATGAGAATGACAACGCAAATGTAATAGGAATTAATTTGAATTCAAGATGACAAACTGAAAAGACGACATCCATCTGTACGAAGGGTGCACTGAATTACAGGGCGCAGTGTCGATTTTTGAAAAAAAAAATTAAAGTGCGCCTTATGGTCCGAAAAATGCATTTTTTAATCATTGTTTTTTTTTTTGTAGCAAAACTCATTTGAGTAACAGGACTAACAGGAAGAGGTTTTCAACTTAATATTTGCAAATACATTAAACATCTAAATTATGGTTGGTGCATCTCTGAGCACAGTTGATTTATCTCATCATAAACAATACAAAGACATTGTTATTTATGAGAGTGGACAGGATAATGATGAGCCCATGCAGCTACCATTGTTGGTGGGTACGTGCGTGACTAAGCTCATCTACACACAACACTATTTATTGATTCATTACTTCCTTAAATGCAATCAGTGGGGAACAAGCTGCTTGCAAAAAATAACTCACCCGCATTAGACTTATACTGAAGTGACGATGCCCTTTAGTGAGGCGTTGTAGCTCAACTTCCCATAGCTGTCATTATGTTGCACTTATTTAGGTTGCAGACTAGTTCAGCCTACTGCACCTTTGTGAATAGTGCACTCAATTTTGCTTTACTTTGAAGATGTGATGCATAAAAAAATCAAATCATCCAATCATCAGAATTCTGAACAATGTAGTATGCCCATCCCTATTGTTGGGGATGTACTTTCGATTGAGGCAAATACGATTTAATACAATAAAAGTCAAGAAAGCATTTTCTAGCGATGAAATATTGCCACTGGTGTAACTACCACAATTATTTCTGTCGATGATGTTTCTTTGTTTTACTCCAATAAAATGATCTCAAAGTAATCAATTGAGTCACAACTGTTAATTAAATGACTGGTGAGCAGAATGATCGATATTCAACATTTCCCTACAATTATGGAGGGAGTAAGGAAAATTGAAAGCTAACCTAACCAGGTTCAGATACAGGATTTTTACTGTGGCGCGTAGGATTAGGCATGTCTAAATCCACTTAAATCTGCTGTCAAAATGATAAGGCCTCTTTTTTTGTATTCCCCATCTGAAATATAGGTCATACATAGCTGTACAGAGGAAGACACTTGCCATGTGTTCACAAATGTTGAGCAGCGCTGCATTCACAACAAAGAAAGCACACACGTACTGAAAAAGCCCCACTACCATCAACAGCGCTTTGCCGTTTCCCTGGGCAACAAGAGAGGAATCTACCAAGAGGCATGTTGAGAATGGAGGAGAGGAGCTGGAGGAGTAAGAGGAAAGCTTGATCGAAAGCACAAAAGACATCACAATCTTCAGCAAGTATTTCTGCAAGACTTCCGTTATGCTGCAGTTGGAGGAGCCAGTTGCTCCAGTCGTAATGTAACATACAGTACATACTGTTATCTGGACTGACTGTCCATCTCGTTGCGTATATCTGCAAATTCGAATTTGATCCAATGCAAGAGTTGACGCTAATATTTAACATGATAAGAATGCTCTGTTCGATTTCAATGTCAGGAAGATTCATTGAATTGGGCAGGGGGGCAATGTATGCTTTCAAATAAATTGTCAATTTAGTGTAATATAATGCTACTATTTAACTGCACTTCGAAATAAGTGGTGCAAAGTACAGTACCATATTTTCCGCACTCATAGGTGCACCTAAACCTTCCATTTTCTTAAAAGCTCACAGCGCGCCTTGAAATCCGGTGCGCCTTGCGTATGGTCATTACGGTAATATGTCGACCCCAAAATCACTCCTTGATGGAGACATGCTTACAATGTCATAACTTGCTGTTTGTTCAGTGAACTGTGTCGCTGCTTTATTAAGTTTTTGTTGCAGCTCCGAAAAAAGGAGAGCTGTGGTGTTGGTTTTTTAAAACGCACACTTTATTAATGGTTTACACAGTCTCAACAAATACAGGTACGTCTTTGTCCGTCTCCGTGCCTTCTCTTCTTCCGTTCGACTCGAGAGGCGTTCATGACCGCCTCCGAAAAACGTAAATTAACGATTACTTCAATGACACTACGAAGATTGAAAACAGTGCATCAAAACAGAAAATCAAGCGAGGAAATCACAAAATAAATTCTGAGAATTTATTTTGTGATTTCCTCGTTTGTGAATACACAACAAAGGAATAAATAACAAACACTTCTGAGACAGTCCAGTCTCCTACATTTTACTGACATCTGATCTTCTGTTGGCATTTCCTTGACCGTAGCTCCATCTAGTGGATGCATTGTAGATTGCGTTTTATAATCCAGTGCATCCAATGTATGAAAAAAATTACAAAACAGGCCATTCATTGAAGGTGCGCCTGATAATCCAGTGCGCCTTTTAGTGTGGAAAATACGGCACTACCTTCATACATTTAGAGTATCTGCAACATGTTTTAGAAGTTTAATTACATATTTAACTATACAGTAGCTTGAGTGAAGCCTCATTCAGATGTGTTAAATCCTCAAAGGAAGTAAACCCACATGAAGGAGCAGTCATGATGTAGTAAAGGGACATCCAAACAACTCAATTTGAGCAGGTATGTTTTATGATCGGCAAATAATAGGAGAGAGATTCCGTCGCACATTTTCATTTTCAAAAACAGTTCCTTTTTTTGATTTGCCAACAGGACCATTCTCCAAATTTACATTCACATTTGGTCTGCTTGACATCATCCTGTTTCTTCTGATCTAAACTTATTCAATCATTTCCGTGACCGTCCTCCTTTTTCTCTGAGCCTTGCCAGTGATATTAGGTTGCAGGGAGGGTGCACAGTGGTGACATCTGTTGTAAGAGCTGGCACAGCGCCAGCCCCTAAGCATCACTCTGGCAACTGGACTCAGTCATGCTACTGGATTTATTCTTGACTGACCCATCAGCTGATGCTCATTCTCGCTTGGCCCTTTGGCATGGCTTTACTGTCCACGGGAAATCATAAAAATGGTGAGGTTACAATTCTAAAAGAGTGAGGGATCTTTTCAGGGAAAAGAAAGAGAGCAAAATGTCAATGGGAATAAATACAGTCCAAATTTATAAGACTGCAGAATACACACCGCTGGGCGGTGCACAGATAAAATGTACTTTCAGACCTACGAGACATTGAAAGGGTGAAAGAGAAGCACAAAAGCAAAATATATAACCATTTGTAAGAAATATTTGCTCCAATTTGTTTCAACAGTATGTTTCAGCCAACTCTTTCTGCCCATGGAATCAGACTCATAAATTGAACAGCGCATCCTTTCAGCTATTGCCAACAGGACGCCTAATCATCCTAATCTGTCAGTGAAAATGTCACAAATCATATCGGAAAGTCCAGCGACATTCAGGGCCAGTGACCATTGTGGCCGAACAAAGTGAGAGAACGGTTGGTGATGTGACGAACCAATTGGCCACTAATGTAACCATTCAAGCAATTAGTGCCATGACACATACATAAGCGATAATTGCTCGTCTGGTCGTCCGTGCAATTTCCTAAAGGCATTCAGAAGCAGTACGAGGGGAAAATAGTGCTTTGGTCTTTTTCCCCCCGCCCACTTCATCTTGAGGAAATGTGATTGAACAATGACAATGATATGGTTTTCTGTGTTTTAAACTCTGATTATTGTCAGGCAACACACAAAGGCAGCAGCGACCTTGAGAACAAAAATGCAGCCACTTTCAGTACATCCACATATACAAGCGGTAACGTTTGCATTAATAAATGCTGAAGTACTCACCAGATTATGTCATGACGTATATTACTTTATTTACATTCTTTATTTCAGGTCAGAATGACTCTGAATTCAGAATATAGGTTGGTAATAACACTGGTAACAACAGTCCTACATCACAGCTGCACGATAAAAGGAGAAGGAATATATAGTTGTCCTCAAGTGACCAAAGAGGGGCAAATTCCACAAATATAGTCAGAATTAAGGCAATTCCAGAGGCCATATGACCTTGTGTCTTAGGTTTTGCAAGTCCCGCACACTGATGTCTCCATGAGATTCCAAAGGGGCCCAATGAGAAAAGTAGCTTATTTTCAGCATTAACTTTTTCAACATCTGCAAGGGAACACTTGATTTCCGAGAGCAAAAGTGTTTAATGCTAGAAAATCCTTGAATGAAGTATGGGGGGGCAGGAGGGGTGTCATTTGAAATTGTTTGGAAGGCCTGGTCCAGATGATAATGAATGCTGATAACATACACAGCAAACAATAGCATGAAAAAGTGTGCAAAGCGACTTACGACAGTTCTCCTCGTCACTGTTGTCCGAGCAGTCATCATCATCATCACATCTCCAAAGGGTTGGGATGCACCTTCCATTGTTGCATTTAAACTGCCCAGCTTCACACTGCGATTCTGTATGAATTCCTGTGTTTTTAAAACAACAAGGAGTCAGCAACCTATCATTTCCAGTTCTTTGGAAACAGAATGCTTATCGATGTGGCAATGAAAATTCAAAGGGTCATTTTATATAACTATTTTCGCACTGGTTCATTTTAGATCATGTTTTCACGATCTTAAACTTGGGCGGTTAAACACATTTAAATATGTTGCATGTAGTATTGGTCTAAAGTTTTAGTTTCCGTTTTATTTACACGGTGTCACATCTATAATGCATTGCAGACGTTTTATAGAAATGCATTAATATTTCTGACTGATTTGCTTTTTCATTTTGTTTTGTTTTGTTTTGTTGACTTAGTCAGTGGACTACTTTGGCATCACATCTTAGTAAGTCTTAATTTGGCACATTCTAACACATACGTTGCGCCTCCGCAAAAAGATAAAATATAAGATTGCTGCCCATTTGCTACACATCCTCCACGCGCTGCATGTATAACACGTGCAGTCTGTCCCCACTCGCTCGTGCGGGGCAGCTACACCTGCCCCCCAGCACATTGTCACCACCCTGGTTCCCCTTTATTTGCGGGTGATGGATGAAGTCTTTTTATTTTCCAAAACACGAGAATCACACGTCCCGGGCGTCTTGCGGTGCGTGATTTCCACTCTCTCCCAATGAGGCGAAGCGTCTTACCTTTCGCGCAATGGAGCTCCAAAAGCAGAAAATGAAATAGTACGAGTTTGCCGAATTGTTTCCACATCTTGAAGTCCTCCGGTTGCTCATGCAATCGAAACACCGCCGAGTGACCCCCAAGATGTCACTGTGTCTGGTGTTAAAGCTCTCTCGGTGTGAATTGTGTGCGACCCGCTCGGCTCCCTCCTTTTTTCTCCCTTTCTCTGCCTCTGCCTCGACTGCCGTTTGAATCGGTGACGTTTATGGGCGGGATGGCTGAGGCTGAGGGTGGTGTGTGAGGTAATTGGCAGTTAGTTTAAAAACCAGCTTGGGAGGTCGTACCTGCTAGCATTGCTGAGTCACGATGAGAGGGACGCATCCCGGAATATGATGAAAACGCTTTTCTAACTTTGGCGCGTCTTGCCCGACTCCAAGGTTGGACCTGCTCAAAGTACCACGGCATGTGGCAAGTGCAGTATGGCATTGCTCATTAATGAACCAGTGGCATTGTTTTATCTGAAGTAAACTGGTAGAATAATCTACTTATCAAAATATGTCAGAAGCTGTCTCTTGAAACCTTTTTATTGTAATTTATCGTGTAGGATCGGTAGGGAAAAACAAAGGGAACATTTGCAAGTTCTTGAAAACAAGCAGAGGAGGAAGTTAAGTCACATACAGGTAAGTCATAACCTTCGAGTCTCAAATAAGTACCAAATTACTGTGGAAAAAAAAACCCACTGTCATGAAAATATATCATTATTTGAGTCGCCACTGTCATTACTTGGTTGAAATCATAAGTCAAGTAATTCAATTTTGCTCACTTACAACATGTATAGGAGTGATAGTGAAATATTTTTACACTGACCATCACAAAAAAAGTGGAACTAAAAATAAAAAAAAAATCAATGAACTCATAAAAAGTGCATTTGCATCTCTACAAATTAAACAAACAACAATTTAAGAATGTCAAATGTTAAAGCGCTGTCACTTATATTGCGCTCTACCTTTGGTACTCAAAGCGCTTTACACTGTTTCCTCATTTACCTGCTGATGACACAGCATCAGGGGCAACTGGGGGTTTCGTGTTTAGCTCAAGGACACTTCGACAAGGTCACAATGGCCAGGGATGGAACCCTCAACCTCTGGGTTTGGATACGACCACCGCCCCAAATGAATTTATGTATGCTTACATGAAGAAGAATGCATGTTATTTTTCTCGGAACGGTTTTGTGACCTGAGATTTCATCTGATCGATTATACTTTTTCACTAAAATGGCAATAAATTGAATTGCATTTGTCTGTTGTATAGGTCAATGTGAATTAGGAGTATATATTTTTTTCCACTTACCCTCTGCGTTTTTGCATTTTGATTTCAGTGATCTCCGAGTGCATCCACAAAGTGTAATAGGTCGACTTAAGGTTGTTTTAACTTTAGTTTTAATAAGAGCAATGCAGGACTCTTAAGATTTTACAGATGAACAAGATCGTTACTCGTGTTCACATTCACAGCTAATTATGCAGCCATGATTTCCATAGACTTGTGCTGGTGCTCTCATTTATGTACTTTTTTTTTTTTTAAATACAGACAATTTTGTTACTTGGCATTACAATTATTCTTTCCACGTCAATTTGAAGAGGTTTTTTTTTTTTTTGGTGCTGCTGTTCTCATTTATGTGCCTTTTTTTTAATACACAGAACCTCAGTCACTTGGCATTCTAATTATTCTTTCCACGTCAATTGGAAGAGGTTGTCTTGTTTTTTTTTTTTTTTTTTCAAAATATTATCAATCGGTCATTCTGAGGAAAATCATTGGCTCAGTTTGGAAATATACAAAATGTTGACTGTGTGCTCAATTACTTGGATAGCAAGGATAATCATTTTCACATTTGGCTTTTTTTCTCCTTTTGAAAAAGAGTTCTTTATTTGGTCATGTGATGTCCAGATCATTGTTATTTAAAAAAGAAAAGTCACTTTTACGAAGTCATCTTGGTGTATTTTTTTTATTATGCAAAAATTCCTGGAAATATATTATTAGCAACATTACAAACTGAAAAAGTCAGACCACAAAACACTTAATCACATCATTCCTTGTAGGCTTCTTGAATATATGCCATTCATAATGGACACTAAATACCGTAAATGTCTTTGTCTTAGTTAAATTCTCAGGTCAAGTTGAATTTCTAACAGCGAAGCAGTCACAGTATATTGAGACCAAATAACAATCCAAATCTGACATGCTTTAAGAGGAAAGTTTAAGTGACAGAGCACGTCGAGCTGCTAAGATTCCCGCAGGCAGTGAAATCACTTATTTAGATGTTCAGTGAATGAAAAGTAGGATATGCGCTAAATTATATCTGTACTGCGGCACGAAGCAGTTTCAGGCAGTTTGGGTTTGCTGCAGCTCAACATGGCTCATGTTTTAGAAAGTACTTCATCACGTGAATAATATATGGCACTATTGTGCGAATGTGCATTTAACACCATTAAATTTCCCCGTGTAGGAGACAAGGGAAAATTATAACACAGGTCAGTTGTAAAAATTGCAATTGCACTCATCATGAACAAGTTAGGAATCGCCTGATTCATATTGCACGTGCTTATTTTAGTCCATAGTCCACATATGAAAAAGTAGTTTCATCAAGCAGACGTAGAAAAAAATTGTGAGAAAAACAGAATTTGGTACTTTTGCTTTTTTTTCCCCCCTCAAATTTTTTTTGTGATTACATAGCCTGCTTTATAGTTGAAATCATTAAACATATATCGTGTTAATTTTGTGTCTGTTTAACTATATTTCATTAAGATTGATTGTGGTAATGCTTTTAAACTGTTATCTCCAATCCAAGCTACCGCATTGCTCAAGCACTCAGAGACAGTTCTAACAAACTTCCCTTGGGAAAGTAGTAACGTTTATATAACTCGAGGCACTTTGACAAGTAACTGCTCATCCAGGTCCAGCGCTACCAACCAACCAAGCCTCTGCCCAGTTCCCGTACAAATCTCTGCTCTGACTATACCCACTATACCAAACTTCTGCTCCAGCTACGAACCAAGCCACTGAAAAAGTCACAGTCTTCAATGAAGAAACACTGACGTAGCCCAGCAGTTGTGCCAAGTGCCGAGACCAAAAGAACAAAAGGAACAAAAAGGAAGAGGAAACAAACTGCAATAACTGACACACTACCTGTCAAGTTGACACTGGAAGTGGAGCAGAAGGTGAGTTCTGAGAAGAGCCTGCCATAAAAAAAATTTTAAAAAAGAGTTGATTGTAGCTAGTGCACACCTTCTGTACATTTTTATTCTTGTAAAGATTTACAGGGGATGTTATTGTATTTGAAGTCCGATGTTCTGTACAACCAGAGACATTTAGTTTCATTGTTTTGAACCACAGAAATTCTGCTTCATTGTTTTCAACAAAAAGCTTTGAAAATCTACAGTCATTATCCTGGCCTCAATTTCATCACGCTACATTTCTCCCCAATGTATTTTACGACTGACCCAGACATGGGGTCACTTGTAACATTTCAGTCCTCGTAGAGGAGATGGAGACACGCATTTTCTCTTTGTGTTGTGGCATTTTCCACGCCATTTATGAGTAGAATCTTGAAGCTAGTTTGCATAGCAGTTTGAACAGCCTCGGTCGAAAGAGCTCAAAGTAAGGGAGACAAATGTCAAAAATGCTACATTTGTCCCCTGCTTCCACTTTTTAATCAGGAAAACAAGCGTGGAACAAAAGGTGCAATAGAAAAAGGCATATGTCTCTTGATCATTTCTAGGTTGAGTTACAGTATGAGTGTTGTTACGGTTTGAGGGGAAATACAGAGCAATTGTAACGTGATTTTAAATCAGTTTACACAACAATGAAAAACCAAATGTTCTTTTTAAGTGTTGGGGCCGGGGCGTTTATTGGTGTGGAAAATGGATAATGGACTTCCTGAAAATGCTGCTATAATCATCCACAAGATATTGAAATGATAGCATTTCAGTCCAATGAGGATTGTTTATTCTGTGGGATGAACCAGAAACAATATGTGCACAGCTGGTATTGGCCTACATCCTCTCCGGTTTGAGTCGAGCGCAATATGATTCATGCAGGCAAAAGTACCACACATGTATACTGTGTCATCTCTCATCCATCAAGCCCAGAGGAATACACCATTTGTGCAGCACCTCAATGCTGCCCCGCAGTAGCAATGAGGTCCAAATAAGAAGGTGAACTAGAGCAGAAGAGCAAGTTCGCTGTGCCGACTCAGTTGACGACTGCCAAATGTTGAAAGAAAGTCGACAGGTTTGGAGTTCAAGGATGAAAATGTGCCTTATTATACAACAAATATTGATGTCTGCTCCATCTCAGGAATTTGGATTCAACCCAGCGCCCGGACATTCACAATTACATTCGTAACTGGTGGGGGAATTTTCATTTAGATAAGATGCTCTTCTGAATTGGCTCCAGCCCCCATCTCTGAATTTCCAGATCACTGCATTCAGAAGCCGCGGCTCACGGGCCTCGGTTTTCAAAGCGCATCTGCTACCCTAAAACTAACGTTTGCATTTTGTCAGGATATACACGACTGAATGTCAAACCTTTCAACATATTGTGGCATTTTTTTCCCCCTTCTGCGATAAAATGTAATACATTCTCGCAATTACAAAGTCAGTGAAGCTTTGATCTTTGGCATATAAGACAGCCATAACCATCATGTGAGCGCATGTGACTTCCTGTATCATCACTGTGACCTTTAAGATAAGATATCCTTTACACATGACAATTAACTTGTATCACTCGTGCCATCCTTTTGCGTAAATCGACATTTCAACTCATGTTGCAGAATAAAATCAGTGAGTGTCATTTGGATGATTAGGGACGAGACAGAAGGGTCATCTGACCTAACTGGGAATCTTATCAAGCTCATGACGAAGTGAGATTCAACAGCAGAGCGGGAAGATCGCAGTTGCAAGCAGTCACCCTATTTCCTCACTCAACTGTTTTGGATTCCCTCCCCAAGAGGTCAGTGGTGAAATTGTGTTCATCGGTCATCCGGGCGTATTGCAATCCATCTTGGCTGCAGGACAGTGCAGCAAGTCAGACTGATACTTTCAGACCTTTTAGTGATTACTTTTCCACTCTGTCTCTTTATCTGGCTCTCTTTGTCTGTTCTCCTCTTATTCCGATTCTTTCTCTTTCTCCCTCATCTGCTCCCTCCACACCTACTCTCTCTTCGCTTGTGACTTCCTGTGTCGTGTTGTTGGGGGGAAAAGGCAACACATTTGCTGGTCAGCAAATTATCTGCCTTTCCCGCAGAGTGTAGCGCCATGTAAATTGTGTGTGTGGCGTGT